CATGTTTTATCACAAGCGAGAAATAGACAATCATTTATGCAGATTTTTCATTATTTAATTTCTTAAATATAATGCAGGACTCTAACATTTTGTGGCAACAGTTGAAAAGTGACCGACGTTATGAGTCCGACGCAAACTCGCAAAACGAAAACATAGTCCTGCAGGGACAAAGCCCTTGGACTAAAAAAAAAAAAAAAAAAAAAAAAAAAAACACGACGCACCAAGAAGGAGTTATCCGATTGGTCCAAAATCGGTACAAGTAATGTACATGTACAGAAAACAAATGATTACAGTTGAGAAATTGGATGATTTTATTGAAGTGATAGAGCTTCACAAGTGAAAAGTCGTAACGAGCTTGTCCACCTCTGGCCCTTATGTAAGCAGTTATTCGGCTTGGCATCGATTGATAGAGGTTGCGGATGTCCTCCTGGGAGATATCGTGCCAAATTCTGTCCAACTGGCGTGTTAGATCGTCAAATTCCCGAGCTGTTTGGAGGTCCCTGCCCATAATGCTTCGAACGTGCTCAATAGGAGAGAGATCCGGCGACCTTGCTGGCCAAGGTAATGTTTGGCAAGCACTAAGGAAAGCAGTAGAAACATGTGCAGTGTGGGGGCGGACATTATCTTGCTGAAATGTATGCCCAGGGTGGCATGACATGAAGAACAACGGGCCTTAGAACTTCGTCAACGTACCGCTGTGTGTAAGGTTGCGACGGATGCCAACCAAAGAGGCATCCGTCCATGAAATGGCACCCCAGACCATCACTTCTGGTTGTCGGCCTGTCTGCCGGAAGACAGTCAGGTTGGTATCACATCGCTGTCCGGGGTGTCTTCAGACTCGCCTTCGCTGGTCATCGGGGCTCAGTTCAAAGCGGGTCTCATCACTGAAGATTATTCTACTCCAGTCAGTGACATTCCAGTGCGAATGAGCCCGACAGCACTGCAACCGGGCTTGACGTTGTACAGAGGTCAATGCTAGTTGGCGCAAGGGGCGCCGTGATTTCAACCCCCTTTCTGTGAGCCGTCTGTGAATGGTCCTTGCGGTCACTGAAGCACTCGTTGCAGGTACAATTGATGATAATGATGCATCTGGGGCTGTGAGTGCCACTCTGACGATTTCTCGGTTTCACGTTCTGTCGTTTCTCTAGGCCTACCGCTTCCTTTTTGACGTTGTGTGCGGCCATGTTTCACTCATTCCTGCCAACATCGTCTAATAGTGGCATCGCTCCTGCTCAAATGTCGAGCTATTCGCCAATAAGACCAACAAGCTTCTTTGACCTCAGTTACACGATCTCTCTCAAATTCTGACAAGTGCGCATATCGTTCGCGCACCTGTATGCGGGGCATAGTTACTGTCTACCAGAGTACACGGAATGAAATTCGTGAAGAATTTATGACCTGGAATTGTAATTTCGCCTCCTAAATATCCTACCAGCTGCGGAGATCAGATGCGCTGTAGCGACAGCCGTGCATTCATTGGCAGCCAAAATGTAAAACTTTGCATTTTCCGTCGAAACCTGTATGCATATCAATTTGTGTCCAATTTGCTTTATAGTCCAAATGGATTTGAATCCCGAAGGACTATTAGTTTCGTTTTGGCATTTTACGTCGGACTCATAAATGTCGGTTCACTTTTCAAACTGTTGCCACAAAATGTTAGAGTCCTGCATTATATTTGAAGAAATTAAATAATGAAAAATCTGCATAAATGTATGTATATTTCTCGTATTGTGATAAAACAACGGTACATAGAGTCATCGAATTTTGAATAACGTAATCCTCCAACGAATATGAGCATGTGGAAGACCCAATTTGAAATTTGAAATTTGTTTTAGGATCGATTTCCTATTTTTTAAAACTTTGACGAATTTTTGATTAACAAACTCAAGGATTTCAAAGCGAGCAATGGCAACATTGTGCCGAAAAAACATTTTTATCTCCAGCGCGTGAGTCTCTGTATCGTTAATTCTAAAGATAGGCTCGTTTTAAAACTATTTTGCGATATTGCTGTTGCACTGGATCTTATGGTTTAAGTGCGAGGAACATGATATTTAATAAAGAAAGGTAACACACAAAATGTTAAAAAACGCCCCTTTGGACGTAATTTAAAATCTGAAACATTTCAGATTTTGTTTTTAATTTTTTTTTTTGTCTAAGTGTGTATATAATGTGCAGTCTACTCAAAGTTTTCGCTCTCTTAGTTTCAGTTCCGCTATTATGAATTTATCACAAAGCATCTTTGGAAATGCTGACAAAGCACTAACCACAAGCTCTTAAATTTATCCTTCACCTAAACTTTCAAATAGATAGTTCTCAGGAATTGCCATTCTGAAAAACGTAAGATCTTTAAAATCTATTTTTTTACTTCTTCGTACGAAATAAAGAAAATATTGTGATCCGGAAAAAATCCGGTTACCCAAAAAGTTTCGCTCTTTCGACGAAAATATCCATTTTGACCTCTCTCAAATCCATTTGAAAGATGTTTTTGCCTTACTTGTACACACGGGCAGAATTAGGGATTCATTTTTCCAAAACGGATTGAAAAATGGATTTAAAATGGATTCAAAAGAAATTTTTTTTTTTTTTTGTGACGTATGTCTCTATCTCGCACAGCTCAAAAACGAGTAACTATAGAACTCTGAAATTTTGTATATGGAACTACTATAATACCTAGTTGTGAACCTCCCTTTTTCATTGCAATCACCATACGAAACGTATATGTATATATTGTATTTCCTCTCTGTTAGCCGGCTCAGTGAGCTCAATTCTGCATTCTTATATGTTGGTAAATTGTGCATTTTTTGCTTTTAAAGCGCTTGAATTATGTTGTTCCTATGTTCTGGTTAAGGGGTTAAGGGTTTTATGCTTTTAGTTACTCTGCATGCAATAATTGTACAATTATCAGCAATTTAGCAGTTTAAGTGGCGCTAGGCCTAACGAGGTTGCCATTTGTTTAAACTCATAGCAGAGTAGTAAATTCAGTCGGTGCACCAACCTCTGTCTTTCCCCACAGTGGGACCAAAAGTTAACTTTCAGTTTTGTGCAGCAAATATTTTGTCTTCTAGCCCGCTGGCCGAATTGCTAGTTTTAACGTATAAACTTTAATTTTAATTGTAATTTTTTTAAAACTGTTTTTAACTGTGTTTGTTGTTTTATGTTTTTCTGTATTTTACAATTTTTAGTGAAGGTGTTTTTAGTTTTTATGTATTTTTACCACGAAATAAGAACTGAATTAATTGAATGAGAAATATATCTCTAATGAAATTCGAGGAAATAAGTTTAAATGAAGGGCAGCCAAAAATTTATATAATTTAACAGTCATGTGGAAGTCATCATTTGATTTAAACAATCACATGTTATTTAATAAAGCGCCACCACAAGAACTCTTTTTAATAATTTAAATATTTATTGTTTTAATAGTGCGAATATTCATCCAATTTAAATCATTTTCATACACTCATAGTGAATCTGATTAATTTTTATGAATATTTGAAGCCTTATTGTAATTAATAAGAGGGTTTTTTTACGCCATGATTAATGACTCGTTACAGAACAGCTTGAATGATAGAAAATAATTCCCTTTCGGCAGGAGCATGTTATAGTTGACTATTTTTGAAGGGAAATCGGCTTTCGTTTACAATATAGACTGGCGCCTCTGAAGCCCATACATACAAGAGCCGGAATACTTTGAGTAAAATACCCCAGAATTTCGGCATTTAGAGAAAGCTCGTGTTGAACAGTATGAATTTAGGCCAGAAAGCATCTTTTAAGCAATTAACTGTCCTTCTTTTATACAAAGAATAAAAAGGTGATATAGAAAATTAACTTATAAGGTATTTTCTTTCTTGTTTCTGCATGCCTTCGTGGTGTAACGGTAGATCACTCGGCGTGTATTCGAGTGGTCCATGTTCGAGTCCCCCTAGGGCATTGCTCATTCCTACTTCAAAAATCTTAAGGACTCTACATTGGCGCCTGAACTAAAAAAGTGGTGGATAATGATTCTTCACCACCAGGATTTGGTGACTGGGTCCCCTAATATCCAGTCGCCCTATAAAGGGGGAAATATATAAGGTACTTTCTCCCTTCTTTTTGCATGCCTTTGTGGTGATAAGGTTAGCACACTCGGCGCGTATTCGAGCGGTCCAGGTTCGAGTCCCACAGAGGACATTGCTGAATTTTCGTGAACTTTTACTTTAAGTATAACCTAATGACTCTGCAAACTTGCAAACTGAAAACTTCAGCTAGCAAATTATTTTTGTATTTGGTATAGCAAATTATTTTGTATCTTTTCTCATAACTATAAGATTATTCCTTAACTATAAGATTATTAGTTAGAAGATTGTTTAATATAAGATTTGTTAATATTTTTATTATTTTATTTATTAATTACTTTTAGTAGATCTTTAATATTTATATTTAGTCTACATTCTACAGAGCCCACCAGCGGCCGAGCGGTAACGTCGCTGAACACTGGTAGTTCGGTCAGAGGTTCGAATCCCGCGAACGGGCTGGCTGCATGGGCGTTTTCGTGGTTTCCTCATGTGTAACGTGTATACGAGCCAGTTTCCCTTAGAAAGTCCTTCCCGAAGGCATCCCTCCCTTAAGGCAGATAGCCCTCGAGTGCTTTGCCATAATCTAATAAAACCAAACTACATTTTGCATTCTTCTAAATTTATTTAATGTTTATTCTATATTTAGTGTTTTTCTCGTTCTTTTTTAATTTGGCTTAATTATTTCTAAATTATATATGCCGAAATTCTTTAAATGTATAATGACATTTTATATTATATAATTTGCTTATTCTTCAAAATTAATATATAAAAATCAGCAAACACAAACTTTCAACTTAAGTAACAATTCTCTAAATATTTGTTATGAGCTTTATTGTAAACATTGCCATCTATGTAAACACCCCAAGACCTGTATAATATGTCTCTGTATGTCATATGTATATTTGCACAACCATTGTAACTTTGTAAAATTATATTTCAAATAAATACCGCTGATAGCCGATGTTAGATAGTTTCCATCAATAGAACACAAAAGCTGAAAGTCGTAATGATGGTGCAGTTGCTCTGTTGATGGTCTCCTGTATTTGGGAAGATTTTATATTGAAGTCTAACACCTTCAAGAATAGTCTATTATTAAACATTTTAAAAATTCATTCAAATATTCCTATTTTTTAAACAAAAATTGTTTCTGTTATTACCATATTATAAAACTAAAACTTAACCAATATAAGGAACAATGAATAAAAAATGCAACATTTAATACCTTACTTTATTATTAAATCGTAACCGATTAAATATAAAAATTAGTAATAAAATAATACCGAATAATAGCAGCAACCATACATTGATTTCGTTGAATTCCCTTTTCGTTTGACATTGAGCATATTTTTCTCGTACTGCGTTTAAATAATGGAATACTTGGAGATGAAAGTTTAAACATTGCGCGAATTTTAACAACGTTGTTATTGATTTCAGTTAAAGGTAAAAATTTGTCCATTGGAAATGAATGTTATTAACAAAAAAGCACGGTGTTCATAATTCAGTTATGTTTAAGAGCTTTTACGTTATTTCAGTTTCATAACAGGTGTTCCTGACCAACATAACAAAGAGAATCATTCAGGAAATGATGCCAATTATTGCTTTTGAAAAATCCATCATTTAATTTTCAATGACACTTTACAATAAGCGCTATATTATAAATAGTATAAATGAAACATTTTTCTAACATACTACATACAATACATCAGCTGCAAACTTTCTGACAATACACGCACGTTTTTAATACTCTATAATAATAATGACTGAAAATGTTCTAAGTGTACATCTGTATTCTATCCTCTGCATCCAAAATAAAAACGCATATTGATGACTAGTAGAAACTTACAATGATTTTAATAATTCTTAAAAATTATTTTAATTTTGAAGTTTGTCTGTTTATAACATTTTAGACTTTAAAATTAAACATAGAAACCAACGCGAGATCTTTGAAGAGCAAAATTCTTGCTCACGTGAGTTTTAGTTTATTTCTTCAGTAAGGATTTGGTTTCTTGGGTTGGCAACAGTAGATATTACTTTTATTTAACGAAGACATCTGATTCTTTTTTGAAGTATTAAATTGTAATCCTAAATTTATTTAATTCATTAATTAGTAGAAAGAATTAATAGCAATTAATTCATTAATTTTTTATATTATAAATGTATTATAACTGACAATTATACAAGAAAATGTATTATAATTCGCAATCATTTCTGATTTTAAGAATAATAGTTACATCCATTTAAACAAAGAAAATTTTGAATTTTGAAGTTTTTCTGTTTATAATATTTTAGACTTTAAAATTAAACATAGAAACCAACGCGAGATCTTTGAAAAGCAAAATTCTTGCTCACGTGAGTTTTAGTTTATTTCTTCAGTAAGGATTTGGTTTCTTGAGTTGGCAACAGTAGATATTACTTTTATTTAACGAAGACATCTGATTCTTTTTTGAGGTATTAAATCGTAATTCTAAATTTATTTAATTAATTAATTAGTAGAAAGAATTAATAGTAATTAATTAATTAATTTTTTATATTTTAAATGTATTATAACTGACAATTATACAAGAAAATGTATTATAATTCGCAATCATCTCTGATTTTAAGAATAATATTTATACCCATTTAAACAAAGAAAATTATGCTTTCATTATTAGAGTCTAGCCCATGGGCCAGCATTGTTTCATCTACAGAAATATATGTCATTTGGCCAGTACTTACCGAAATACACCGGCTTCTCGCATTTTGGGCAGTTGGGCATGATGACGGTCGGAGGATTTGGTCGGAGAATGGCTGGCTTCAAAAGTGACCGTTTACGTGAGAAACTCAACGGTTTATCGCGGGCGGTGACGTAATTAGTTCCGCGTCTGAAACTGGTATTTGCGTAGAGGTGGAGAGAAGTTGCATCTTTTGACATTTTTTTTAATTCACTATTCCCTCCCCCCCCCCAATCACCAACTGCCGAGGCTTTCCACTTCTCAACTTCCTCTCTTATCAACCGGATGCATTGTTCGATGCGTAGATCCAATGCTACGTTTGATTTATGGGAAGAGAAGAAAAAAAAAAAGAGCCTAAATAATAAAAAAACAACCAAAGCTTTAGGAATTAGCAATGCAATTAAACTGTACAGATAAAAATGCATAAAAAAAACTGAAAGCTTTCAGATTTTACATTACGCCCAAAGGGGCTTTGTTCCTGAAGGACTTGCGATTTTGTGTTGGTTCACTATAAATGTCCGTTTCACTTTTCAAACTCTAAAAACTTTGACGAATTGTTGATTAATAAATTCAAGGATTTCAAAGCGAGCCATGGCAACGTTGTACAGAAAAACATTTTTATCTCTAGCGCGCGAGACTCTGTATCGGAAATTCTAAAGGATAGGCTCAATTTAAAACTATTTTTCGATATTGCTCTTGAACTGAATTTTATGGTGTAAGTGCGAAGAACGTGATATTTAATAAACAAAGGTAACAGCAGACAAAATGTTAAAAAAACGCCCCTTTGGACGTAATTTAAGTGTGTGTGTGTGTGTGTGTGTGTTTCGTAGTGTTGCCATTTCTCGCTTTGAAATCGTCCTGTTTGTTAATCGAAAATTCTTTAATGTCTGACAAAATATGAAGTAAATAATTAAACAAATTCCAAATCCCAAATTAGGGCTTCCAAATACACATAGTCGCTGGAGAATTACGCTATTCAAAATTATATAGCTCTAGGTACCATTGTTTTGTCACAATGCGAGAAACATACATACATTTTTGCAGATTATTTAATTTCTTTAAATATAGCATTCATTATTTAATTTCTTTAAATATAGCACAGAGCTGTAATAGTTCATGGCAACAGTTTGAAAAGTGAATCAACGCAGAAAATGATCCGACGCAAATGCGAAAACGAAATTAAAAGCCCTTTGGGATAATAATGTGATTAAAATACATAGAAGAAATGATAAAATACTATGTACCGAAAGGTATGTACCGAGTTTAATAATATACAAGGAGTGCCTTTTGTTAACAACAATAATGCAGCAAATGCTCATAAAAATTATGACTCAGATACTATATCCTTTATTGTTGACGCTCAATCTTAAAATTTCAGATAAAGTTTAAAATGTTTAAAGGATCAGTTTGTAAATATTTAATGGTAAATTCCTTGAAAGAGAATTAAAATGTTAAAATTTTTTAAATGTTTAAAAAGGAATCAAAAAGTGTAGAAATGTAACAGTTCTGTTTTTACTTCCTTGTACGAAGTAAAAAGGAAGTATTGTAATCGCGAAAGGTTTCAGGCAGCATATTTCAACGAAAATATCCATTTTGACCGCTATCGAATGCAATTTAACGATGTTTTTGCGTAATATCTGAACGTAAGGACAGAATAAAATACTCTTTTTCTCCAAAAAAAATTATAAAACTGCTTTAAAACTAATTCTGAAGAGAATTTTTCGTGGCGTCTGTACGAACGTATGTACGCACGTTCGTACGTATCTCGTATAACTCAAAAACGAGTAGCCTCAGAGCGTTGAAATTTTGTATATAGGACTGCTATAACATGTAGATGTGAACCTCGTATTTTGCTTCCAATCGGCCGCACCAAACGTATATAAATATATTTATATATATATCCATTCTGTTACCCAGCTCAGTGATCTCAGTTTCTTTACGCTAATATGTTTGTAAATTGTACATTTTTTGCTTTAAAAATGATTGAATAATGTTGTTCTTATCTTCCGGTTAAGGTTTTTTTAAAGGCATACCTTTAGTAAATCTGTATGCAATATTTTTAGAATTATCAACAATTTTAAAGTTGTTTAAGTGCCGCTAAGCCTTTTCTTATGGCGGCCATTGCTTGTTTACATTTGAAACAGCAGACTAGTAGATTTGTTGCCAATCTAGAGAAACTTAGCTTCGCAACAACAAAGATAACGCCTTCATTTATTATTGCCAATTAAATCATGCTTAATCCTTTCTGGAATGTTTTCGAGGAAATAAGTGTTTATAATTTACTTCGTAATTTTTAATATAGATATTTTGAGTTTTTATGTATTTTTGCCTTCTCACGAAGTGAGAACTGAATTAATTCAATGAGAAATACTCGATCGTCTGTGATCGTCTTTTTTGTTTTGTTTGCTCAATTTCTTTTACACATTATTTTAGCTTTATTATAGTATTTGAAAAGAACATGTGGCAACGATTAGATAATTCTATTCTTTAAATGTATAAATTTTGTGCATTATGAGTTATAATATGAACGAAATATAATACTGTTAAGTGAATCTAGCGCCAGAGTGTCGCTATGGTAAACAAATACTGGAGTGAATTTTAAAGAATGCATTTATTCTATTGTGGTTTATGCGCTGTCGGCGAAGTAGATTTAATTCAATGATAAAATAGATGGGTTTAAAAAGTTTAAATGAAATACAAGAAAAAATGCGTTTAATTTAATATTCCGTACAAGGAAGTCATGTGGTGTACACATCAGATTTTTTTAAATGAAAATAATACCGGCTGTTGCCAATTCATAAAACTAAATCATTCCTACTTAATAGAAGACAATCTCAACTCAGAAAGCATTTTGCAGTTTTAAAAGCTCCGGTGTTTCTTTTTGCAGTTCCTTCTCTCTATGTCTGTTTGAAATTACAGCGGTATAAAATGAAAAATATCAAAATTGGATCGTACAATAATAAAGTACAGTAAAACTCCTATCCTTGGAATCGTACAATAATAAAGTACAGTAAAACTCCTATTATCTGAACTCCGACTATCCGAATCACTGATTATCCGAATGGCTTTCAGAATTTAAGAAAAAAAATAAGACGAAAAACGCAGTGTTGGACAATCAACGTTTTCAGACATTAAAATACGCAAACCTGCACTTTTAAACTTCGTGTGATTACTTGAAAACGAAGATGGAAGTTCTTGGAGAAAATCAATGACTGCAGCAACAAACAAAAATTTAGAAGATATCGTTTTCAAGTGGTTTTTGAAGCAATGTTCTGTGAGAAACCCGATTCTGGTTCCAATTCCTTGTGAAAAAGCTGAGATCTTAGCTCAGAAGCTTGGCTGGTAATCTTTAACCCTCTGCGGCAGAGTGTGTCCGGTCGGGACACACCTAAAAATTCCCTTCAAGTTCCTTCAAGCACAGAAAAATTGAATGAAAAAGGATTTATAGGTTACTATAGGTTACTCTGAACCTTCTTTATTTATAGTAGATGGCAGCTCAACACAAACCAGTCCATATATTTTAGCCATGTTGAGTTTTGTAAGACCCTCTTTTTCAAAGAAATCTTCAGATTTTTTTTTAGGGTATAAAGGAATTATTTGAAAAGAAATTTCTATGTTATTTTTTGACTGTATGATAATCTCCTTATTCTATATTAGTTTTAATTTTTCCTTGAAATCTGCCTAAAATCAAACGGCGAACCCTAGGTGAACCCCGACCGGCTCACCGATCATCTAGGGACAACTGGAGTCTGTATTCTTTGTTTCTCCGCATCTCCGGTCAGTCATTGACACAATCGTTTCGCCACTCTTTTCGAAGCTCTATTCAATTAGTGTGCCACTTTGGGCACACGGACAGAATTAAAACGATAAGTGCTATCTTCACAAAATTTTACTTGTGTACTCCTCTAGGCCTAACTAGAATGCCTACCGTTTTTTTTTTCTTTTTTGGTTTTTGTTTTTATCAAAATTCTGACTTTAAAATGTAGCGTGCCGGAAAGGGTTAAAGCATGTAATATGTGTGTGTGTGATTTTGGCAAAGCCTCGAGGGCTATCGGCCTAAGAGGAGGGTTGCCTTCGTGGAGGACTTTCTAAGGGAAACTGGCTCGTATATACGTTACACATGGGGAAAACCACGAAAACGCCCATGCAGCCAGCCCGTTCGCGGGATTCGAACCTCGGACCGAACTACCAGTGTTCAGCAACTTTACCGCTGGGCCGCTGAAGCATGTAATGACTGGCTAAGAAATGTATGCAGGCACGGTGTCCGTCAAACAGCTTGCTTTGACCGAGATGTTCAGCCAGTAATGACTTTCAGCACTCGTAAGTACTGTTACAGTACGCTATCTAACAAGGTACGTAAAAATGTTGCCTTTCATTTCAAATAATTAAAACCTCTTTTTCTTTAAAAAGAGCTGTTTTCTCCAATTTTCAACATACAGTACATACGGTAATTAATTAATATGTACGTAGATCATTTCTTCGGAAAACTCCAATTATTTGAATGGAGGCCGATCCCAACTGATTCGGATAATTGGAACTCTACCGTATTTAATTTTAGAATTTAAATTTTTAGAAATATTTCCAAAAGACAATTTCCTGAAACATTAACTTAATCGCTGAACTGGAGTTCATTAACACAGCTAAGGAGTTTTGAGTTCACTATTCCGCTAATCCTTGGAATATGGTAACAGGTAGTTTGGCGACATTTTGATAAGGCGATAAAGATTACTGGGACTTTAGCAGTGTACATGGATAAGGTCAAGAGTGTGCGCAATGCCATTTTTGTGCAATTCTGGGATGTTTTTTTTAAGTGAAAATAGGTCGAGTGTTACATGGATACCGGTATGTGCAATTCTGAAAACGCGGCAAGCAGTGGGCGATTGTGCACTTTCCCCAATTTCGCACCTAATCTTCGTCAGGATTAAGCACTTTTTGTTCCATAAAAGTTCTAGCATTAGCGTAATTCGGCTAGCAGATTGTTGGAAAAAAATGTTGAGTAAAAAAAATGTCTTTACTTCGTGAAAACAAAATGGCCTCAAAAAAAAAAAAAAAAAAAAAAAAAAAAAAAAAAAACTAGCAGGTTGCTGTAGCAGAGTTGGTCGCCAAATTTCGCCAAAAAATCGCCAAGTTACCATAATCCAA